TAATTTATCCATTGAAAAGTGGCCTGTTTCGTGTGACATTTAATCGAAAACCAGAAGTGCCATGGTTTGGTCCATATTTGGCCAATTTTGTACGACCAACAGCCAACCGAACCAAATGTTCATCGTTACCATTCTATCAACAATTGTAAGAAACGATTTTTCTCTTTAACTCAAACCATTTCAAAATTTGAGACGTATGTATTTTTAAAGGTTTTTTTGTGTAAATGCTTTTTTAGTTATGAGGAGAGAAAACGTTTATTGGATACGATTTCATCGCGACACAAAGACAGCAGTACATTTGAAGATTTTACATGCCCGTGCACCCACAATGATTGACAACATCTATATTAATCAATCGAAAAGTTTGTATTGCTTTGAATATATTTTTTCTATTTGGTTTTCATCATTTCATAGTATTTTACAAGCATTAAAATTGTTTTTTTTTCTTCTAGAATGGAGTCAGCCGCAAACTGCAATTTTATCAGACGGCAATTTTATCAGTTCGTGATATTCCAAATCAGCTTTTAAGAGCTGTAAATATTGATCGCTTATCACCTCGGTCACATCGTTCCAATTGCATCCATTTAAGAGTGCACCAAAAAACATATTTACAACGTACAGTTTTTGGTTGCCTACGAAATATACGATATGAAAACAATGCAACGTTTATTTTTTTTCAATTTCATAAATAACTCTGTATGTTTTGTGAAAATTGCAAGTTTGCAATTGCCTAGTTAGGTCAAAGTATTTTCTGGCTGAAAATGGTTCCTCTTTTTTTTATGTTATGGAAATAAACGGCTAAATTTTATTTTCGGAGAAATGGTGAAAGAATAGCGTGAAAGAGATGTTGTAGATAAAGAGAGAGAAAGACAGAAAGACAGAAAATGAAAGCGTGTAATTATTCAACAAAACAACCAACATTTGCATCCATGTGAACACAGATTCAAAATTTAATTAATAAATATGTTCATTCTAAAGTTAATTTTGTTCCGAGCTTCAATTTTTTTTGTATAATTTATTATTAGTTTAAAAAAAGACATTTTGGCAAGATGCTATGACAATTGGGAAAGAGCTTCGCTGCGATAAATTTTTTAAGATATTTTCGCAGTATTTTTACATTTTTATCCATAATAAAATTTAAAACATATGCATATGTTCAAACTAATTAGAGGAAAATAATGAATGAGTTTTTGTTTTAATCCTTTTTGACCATAAGTATTTTTAAAATAGAAAATTGTAGATAATTCAAAGAAATAATTATTTTATTTTCTTCGCAATCAAACATATTAGTTGCAAGGGTTGTGTGTGTGTGTGTATGTGTCTTTTTCTCACAAGTCCCATAGTGGGGAAAAAATATCACGAG